TTATGAGGAGAGTGGACTTGTACAAGGAAAGATGGGATGGGAATGGCTGTGATTATATTCCCAGACATACCAATAACACTTGAAGTGAGAAAATGACAGGATGAGCAAGGACATGGGAGAAGCTCCTGTGTCAATGCTCTTGGCCTCAGTTAAGGGAAGTAAGGTGGAGGGGGGAAACTGTTGTGGGAATTTCCCACATGATCTACCCCTCCCATGCAGTCTAATTTCATATAGTCAGGAGAATGTGAGATGCAATGCCTGCAAAGTGTCATACCATAACAGTTTGATAACATATGAACAAAGCTTTAGCCTACCTTTTTATCTGTCTAACTTTGGGGGTAAGAGCACCAGTCTTGAAGCTAACAGGATCTGTTGCCACACTCCTGGTCACTCTGTCACTGGAGTATGTGATAATATAAACCTATAGTTCTGATTTGCTGAATGGGAAAATGATGGCTTTTTTATGTGGAGGCTTGAATAGTTAAAAAAAAAACATTTTTAAAGCTAATCCTGTATTCCAGCTGTTATCTCACCATTTGATAATAGTGAATGTGCTATTGATTTTTAAATAGCAATGTTGTGTAAACTAAGATTGCTTTCTGGTGTGGCTTTACTGCTTTTAAAGCATAGCATTTTTAGTTCTCTTTGCCACCAGTTCTGCTGGACAGCAAGTACTGCCTTTTGTGTGAAAATGAGGTTTCCACTCACTGTTTCTAGGGTGACTGCCTGGTCAAAGGTGCTAATTTCAAAGGGGCTGTGCTGCTAGCTCTGATAATGAGTCCACTGCAGGGAATGTCTCAGGAAGGGATTTATTGTGGCAGGCCCTTCATCTGCTAAATTAATTGAAAACAGTGTTTAATTTCCTGTTAAAGAGGAAAGAGCATTTATTTGCCTTGGCTGTAAACACTTGTTTATTATTATACAGCACGAGAACATGCCATCACTTAAACAAAATTCCTTTTCAATCAATGAAGTGTAGTAAGGTACTTAGCACAGTGTCTGGAATGAATCGAAGAGAATACAATAGGCAAACTGAGGTCAGTGGTGAGCTGAGATGCTTCTGACTAGTGGTGTAAACCTGCCAGCCCCTCCTTTATTATACATCTGGGTCTCTGTATATCCCTTGTTTAATTTGTCCATGCTCCTGATTTTAAGTTTAAATCCCCACTCTGCCTTGGAAGCTTGCTTGGTGACTCTGGGCCAGTTATACAGTCTCAACCTAACTGACCTCACAGGATTGTTGTGAGAATTGGGGCTGGTACTATTTAATTTATTCCTATATGATCTGGAACCTAGGGGTGAGTAGTGTAGTGGCCAAGCTTGCACCAGACACCAAATTATTCAGGATGGTGAAAGCCAAGGCTGTCTGTGAAGAACTTCAAGAGAACCTCCAGAGACCTGGTGTGTGGGCAACAGTGTGGCAAACTGTTAGTGAGTGTAAGGTGATGCGCATCGGGACAAAAAAAAATCCCAGCTTCCAAGCATAGATTAAAGGGGTCTGAACTTGCTGAGACTGAGAGGGAAAAAGATCTTGGGGTTGTAGTGAATATCTTAATGAAAGTGTCAACCCAGTGTGCTGCAGCAGTGAAAAAGCAAACTGTTAGGGAACATGAGAAAAGAGATTGAGAATAAAATTGCCCATATTGTAATGCCCCTATATAGATCTATGGTGTGGCCACATTTGGAATATTGTCTACATTTCTCATCGCTGTATCTCAAAAAGGACATTACAGACCTGGAAAAAGTACAGAGGAGGGCAAACAAGGGGGTTGGAGCAAGAGCACTCTCCCTATGAGGAAAGGCTGAAGCGTTTTTTGGGACTTTTCAGTTAAGAAAAGAGACAACTAAGTGGAGAGAGAGATAAAACTATGCATGGGGTGGAGAGAGATGACAAAGAAAACCTTTTCCCCCTCTCCCAAAATACTAGAACCCAAGGATATCCAATAAGGCTGATGCGCAGTAGGTTCAGGACGGACAAAAGGAAATGCTACTTTACACAGAGAGTGATTAAAATGTGGGATTTGCTGCAAAAGGACTGTAGTGATGGCCACAGGAATAAACAGCTTTAAAAGGGGATTAGATAGATTTATAGAGGATAACTTTATCAATGGCTGCTAGCTATGGTCACTGAGGGAAACCTCCACATTCAGAGGCACTAAACCTCTGAATCCCAGAGTCTGGAGGCAACATCAGGGGAAGGCCTCTGCCTCTATGCCCTGTTGTTGGCTGTCCAGAGGAACTGGTTGGCCACTGTATGAGACAGGATGCTGGACTAGATGGATCACTGGTCTGTCGTCCCCCCCGCACCCCCAGTGACCCTTGTTCCATGCCAAGAAGATGACAAAAAACCTCCAGGATCCCCAGCCAAACTGGCCTGGTGAAAAATTGCTTCCTGACCCTAAAGTGGCAATCAGCATTTCCCTGGGCATGTAAGAAAGGGCCACAAGAACTAAGCACTGATGCAACCCTTCCTGGCCTTCCCTCTCATGATCTACCTAAGTTCACAGAATCAGCATTGCTGTCACATGGCCATCTAACCTCTGTTTAAAAAACACCAAAAAAAGAGAACCTACCACCTCTTGAGGAAGCCTGTTCCGCTGAGGAACTGCTCTAAGGCTGCATACACATATGACTTTTTACCATATTTTGAGGCTTGTGTTGGGCCCTGATATGCTTTTAAATTTCTTTGTAATAAATACATGTATTTTTATGTACAACTGGTTCCTATTTTATTTTAAATTTTGGCCCTACTTTTGCTTTCTAACTTACCTTTCAGGTACTTGATTCAATTTTGTTGGGTTAAGTCCTCCCCCTTTTTCTGCGTTCATGCATACATGACAGATTTTAGACATATTGACCTATTAGCCATGTCAAGTTGTACAGGAGGCTAGAAAGCCTTTCCTACTCAGAGCTAGATAATAAACATTTGAACATGGAATAAAAGTAAGCATTTATAGTATCTAACTATAACGTACTGGGTTCGCTGCATGGAGGACTTGTACTACGACATGCGGATGGACATAACACCAACACAATTTCTATATTATATAAAAGTGGAGAAGTTAGGTAGGGTTGCACACTTCTATACATGGCATGATCTTTGCAATTACCATTAGGGAGAGTCAGTGCGTTGTAGTGGTTAAGAGTGGCAGGCTCTAATCTGGAGAACTGGGTTTTATTCCCTCTTGTCCTCTACATGAAACCTGCTGGGTGACCTTGGGTCATTCACAGCTCTCTCAGAGCTTTCTGAGACCCACCTACCTCACAGGATGTTGTGAGGAGAGGAAGGGAAGGTAATTGTAAGCCACTTTGAGACTCCTTTGGGTAGAGAAACACAGGATATAAAAACCAACTCTTCCTCTTCTTCTACCATTAAATCTACTGCTTAGCATTCAATCCAGCTAAGGAGTTGTGCTATGTTATAAAGCACATCAAATATTGACTGGACAGTTAGACAAGGAAAGGGAAGAAACTACTTAATTTTATTGTAAAATCTTATGCAGAATTACTCCAGATTAAGCCAATTGATGTCAATGAATTTAGCCTGGAGTAACTCTGCATAGGATTGCACTGCTAGTAATCAGTCTGTGTTGGTGCCAGGAAGTTCTATCCCCTCTGGAAAGAAGAACAAAGAAAATGAAGATAGAAGGATTATCAACACCCTCCATAAACTATCATTTCATTCAGGTTATCCCTAGACACGGGGAGAGATGACGGATATTATTATCCCCAGAAAGAATCACAGTCAAGAGGTGTGAGTCGGCACTCTTTCTCATGAAGGGTGATACCCAGTTTACCTAGGCTTTCCATAAAGCTGGAGATGCTGTTCATACCAGATTATCCAGAGTAGTAGCCACGTTTGTCTGTTGCAGTGCAAAAGGGGGAAAAGGAAGCCTTAGGGTACTATAAAAACTAGAAGATATGTGTGTGTGAACTAGAACCCACTTCATGTGATTGTGAACGGAGTCCTTCGTTAATGCGTGTGTGTGTGAACTGAGAAACTAAACAGTGGGACTTTGACCCAAATGCACGTGAGAGAGGGAGACTAATTTTTCTGTGCAAAGATCAAATGTATAAAAGACTAATGCAGTGACCATTTACAATAGCAGTAACTGGTAGTTACACAATCTTTCAAGTTCTGCTGAACTAATACAATCACTGTAAGGAGCAGGAAAACCTTCCTCTTGATACAAACATAGAAGAGTACTACCTACCTTTTTGATCAAATCTAATTCAGTGATTTCATGCTAAATTCTCACTTCAGAGTGTTGTTTTTAATTGCAACCAGTGGCCTCTTCACATTTTGCCACAGTACATTCTGTGTTACGTGCAGAAGTCTTTTCTTTTGCCTGTTAATCTACAGCCAGTCAGTTTTATTTGGTGACTCTGAATTCTCATTTTATGAAAGGAGGCAAAATATTTTTCTGTTTGCACTACACACTACACACGATTTTATAACATCCGTGCAGTGTGTTAGTAATCTTTTTTTCTAATCTAAAATGCCCTGAATTCTTTAGCCTTTCTTCATCAGAAAGATCCTCCAACCTTTAGTTCATATTGATTGCCCTTTTCAGCTCTTTGTCAAGTGCCATGATCTCTTTTTTCGAGGTGAAATGACCAGAATTTCGCTCAGTATTCCAAATACAGCCATACCATAGATCTATATAAAGGCATTATAATAGTGTTCCTCTCAGACTGCTTTCTTGGAAAAGGCCGCATTATTGTCACCCTCATTCGGAAGCAGGAAAGGTTGCTTTTTCATTTTCTAGCTCACTTCCATTACTCTTCGTGTTCACTCACAACGAACTATTTCAATCTAGTGGAGGATCTTTCAGACTTGTCTGCATTAATGTATTGCATGACTTCTTGGCTTAGGTTGTCTACAGTAACACTTTTGTTCCATACTTGTCCATGCTAATATGTTTGTTGTTTGCTCATTAGAAGCTGGAACACTGGAATCTTTGCCTGCTTTAAAAAGTGGGCTGCCTGAATCCCGGAAGGTTGCTGGGCCTCCTGAAGCCTTACCGCCTTTAAATACCCACCCTCTCAGTCGGGGGCTGTTCGAGGAAGGTGGCCAGCTCTCCAGTTCTCACCTTTTAAAAGAAGATGAGTGGAAGGAACGTAATGAAAGGGTATGTGCTGATTTCCCCTTTCCAGTAAATACTTTTGGTGGGATCAGTGAAACGCATGTTAAGACTTTTTAAACATCAGTTAACTAAATGTAGGGGAGAAAGGTATGACAAGAAAGGAAAGAGTGAGGTCAACTGGTGAGGGACTGGTGTGTGACAACTTAAGCTTTAGGTCTGATGTCATTTTGATTGATCACCACTGTTACAATGAGAACTTAGCCAGATCCATCCAGGTTCAACAGAAGACAGATCCCAACTGCTTGTGAAGGACCAAACAGGTTTTATTTCATATATACAACGTGGGCCAAATTGCCTTAATGGCAACTACCAGCAAAACAGTAAATCACCGTGTACAATTAAACAATATTTGTTAGTTTTTATATGGTATGCGTAGAATTCAATTATTGACAAGATTACAACAATATCACTACAATATACGATATAAAGCTTAGTAGTACATACAAAGTAATACAGTTACTCAGGGCTTTTTTTTGTAGAAAAAGCCCAGCAGGAACTCATTAGCATATTAGGACATACCCAACAGCACAGCTCATTAGCATATTCGGCCACACCCCATGACTTCCCTTGGCTTGCCTGGGCGGCCTGCGGCCGCAGGACAACCAGGCAAGCCCGACCTTGGCCAGGCTGGGGAAGTAAATGCCTCCCTGATCCTTCCAGGGCCCCCCCCAGGCCCCCCGCCTTGGAGTTGCCGGGGGGGTTCACTCTCCAGGCCTTCCCTCTGTAGCCACACACACAGAGGTTTTGGCTGTAGTGGGCGTGGCCAACTCTGAAGCCAGCCGGAACTCCGTTCCTGTGCGTTCCTGCCCAAAAATAGCCCTGCAGTTACTAGTTACAGAAACAATTAAGACAAACAACGGAGTTCTAGTACACTATCCGTTTGCGTGTCCTTCATCAGGTTTGTCATTTTGTTGTTGTTTCTTCACAAGCATGAAGTGCTGCAAGCCATATTTCAAAATGCTAGTTCTTATACAAATTTTTATGTACGCTACCGCGCTTAGATTCTGGTGACTGGGGAGCTCCTATAGCAAGCTCTAATGTGACTGGGTCTACAGCATATAGTAATTGGCTAAGCTTCCCTCAGAAGCCATCTTAACAAACAGAGTGCTGCCTCTTCTTACCAGACACCACCAGGAAGCAGAAAACTCTTTCTTCATTGTATCATTCCGTGGAACTTTTCACCTCAGTGCCAACCTCTGATTTGTCATTGAGAGTAACTGGAATGGTCATTGTATCTATGAGCCAACTGAGATGTGATGGCATCCACAGGCTGGACCCGTGGATCTCACCACCATTTTAAAGCCTAACAGGACAATTTAAACATGTTGTGAGGGTTCACTCCGGAGATCTTTTGCCCCAAGCTCCTTTTACCTACCACTGCTCCAAGTGGCAGCACAGAAAAAAACCCAACAGTGGCATTGCAGGCATGATGATGTCACTTTTTTGGGGGGGGAGGTCATCATGCCTGTGATGCCACCCCATCATGTCCCTGCCTCCAACCCTGCTGCAGCCTGGCAACCCTAGGCCTGCACAGTGGGATGTTCTCCCCCCCCCCCGACATCTCAAGTGTCGAAAGGGATGGAATAAGAACACCTCATCCTGCCACACAGACATTTCTAAATTACCTTTATAATAGCAGCTGCATACCCAGGTCTGGCCTGTGGGTGCTGTCATGTCTAGTTTGGGGCCTATGTGACTTGAGGGAACAGTTGCTTCTGGAGGAGGTGGAGAAATGGTGGCTCTACAAAGGGCAGCTTAACCTTTTTTCCACCCACTGTTTTGCTACTCAGATTATCCACTCTCAAAGTTGTTTTTCTTTTTCTTTTTTAATTGACCATTGGGATTTTATTACTTACACTTGCAGGCAATGTGTAATTAAGCCCCTAGCCACAGTGCCATGTCAATTTCTCATGGAAACAGTTTTTCAGTAACCCTTATGTATAGGTATGATTAGGTCTTTTTCATGCACTGTGGTGTTACCTTTCTGTTGTGTCCAGGTTCATGTGACCATATCCAAATCTGCTCAGGAGAAAATGCGTCAGAAGCAGCTAAGAGAGATAGAACTTTTGCGGAAAGAAAAAGAAAAGGAGAGAGAAAAAGAAAAATCTATGAAGCCTCAAGACCAGCTACGGAGAACTACTCAGGAAGGTATGTGGCAACTTAAATGGGGAGAAAGGCTATTTACAAATTTATTTATCTATTAGTAAATGCACCACTTCAGTTTTGCATCACCACAGATTTCAAATCTTTTCTTTGAAGAAATTAGAATTCAAAATGTGGAAGGGGAAAAATAATCAGGCCCTGAGGTCAGGTAATCTAAGGGTTGTTATCTTTGTTCCTGACAACATTTGTTTGACTTTGACTGTTGCATGACAGGCTGAAATTCAATAGGTTCTTTCTTTCCCAACATGAAGGTATAATGATGAAGGTTACCAGCTTTCAGGAGGGACCTGGAATTCTCCTGGAGTTACAACTAATCTCCAGACTACATAGATCAGTTCCCCTGGAGGAAATGGCAGCTTCAGACAGTGGGCTGAATCACATTAGATTTCCCACTGAGCTCCCTCCCAGGTACTGCTGCCAAATATCGAGTAATTTCCCAAGCTAAAGTTGACAACCCTAGGGAGGAAAAGGAAACAATACCTGTTGAATTTCTGCCTGTCACAGGAAAAGAAAGCTGTGACTCTTAAGCAGGGGTCATTTCCTGCGGGAGCGCATAGGAGCGGAGCTCCAGCAGTATGGAGCCCAGGGGGCGGGGGCACATACAACAAGCCCCACCCCCTGCTCTCAGCAGCCCTCAGTCGGGCCATGAGGAGCAAGAAGCAGCCAGGTAAGTTGCAGAGCCTCCCCCCCGGCCCGCCTTCAGGTACAAGCTCTCCTCTGCGAGGGCAGATCTGCACATTCCCCTCCCCAATAGCTAGCAATCCAAAACAGTCCAGTGGCACCTGTAAGACCAAGTTTTGTTCAGGTACAAGCTCTCCCTCCTCTGCGAGGACAGATCCGCATGTCCCCCCCCCCATAGCACTCCAAAACAGTCCAGTGGCACGTGAGCGGGGGGTGTTGCCTTCTGACACACTTCCGGTGATGTCAGGGGGTGTGCCATATGCAAATGAGTTATGCTAATGAGCTCCTGCGCCTCTTTTTCTATGAAATGACCCCTGCTCTTGTATAACATATTCTAAATCTTATTAAATGATAGCAAAGCCAAAAATGCCTCCGCAAAAATGCTGTTCTCTTTAAACTGGTACTTTCTAGCCAGGCAGTACCTACTATTGCTCAGTTAGCTAGTGGTGTCTCTGAGGTGATCTCTTTGCCAATGGTTGCAAATCATTCTCTGTCCACAGAGCTTTATTACAATGAAGAGGGTTAATTCAGCAAAAGCTAGGTGTGAGCTACGGTTCAGCTGCAAATGGGATATTGCTGGGCTACAGGGCCTGCAAGAGTCTTGTAGTATTGGTACTTCTAGTGTGCTGAAGGGCATGGACAGCACTTAGCGTCATGGGGACTTGGTGTGCAGACCCATCCCCACCTGCCTCGTCCCACTTGCTTCTGCTTTTACAGTGAGGGCAGCTTTTTCTACCCCTTTGTGGGAAAAACCTAGGTCAATGTTGCAGGAACTGGTGCTTCCATTCCGTTTGCTGGAGTACTATGAAAATACCCCATCTTCATCTCAGTGAGCTTCTAGCGAAAATCCTTCTAGCGAAAATACAGGATATACCTTCATGTCCTTAAACGTATCTGAACAGTATTGAAGTGAGGCACTTACTGCTGAACAATTCCTACCAAAGTATTTTCTCATTGTATAGTTTTGTTCCTATAATCATTGATACTTGTTCAGAATATTACATCAAATATTTCCCTATACTTTGTAAAGGGAATTAAAAAAAAAATTAGAGCTATCTTAGCAATAGCCTTGGACATTGTTGAATCCTAGACTATATCACTGTTATCAAATCCACATATACTTCAAAAGCAGGTATTGGACAAATATGATTTCTTCAATAACATTTAATTTTAACTGAAGTACAGCCTAGAAGAAATTTTCATACAAAGGAGGCACTTTTGCATATGGTAACAAACCTGTTTTAAACCCCTACACATACGGTTTTCAGAGAAACCACTGTCAATGCAGTGCTGAGCAGAGTTACATCCATTGAAGTCTTTTTTAAAAAAATTAGAGCTATCTTAGCAATAGCTGAATTGAATCATAGAGTGGCCTTGGACATTGTTGAATCCTAGACTGTATCATTGTTATCAAATCCACATACACTTCAAAAGCAGGTATTGGACAAAGATGATTTCCTCAATAACATTTAATTTTAACTGAAGTACAGCCTAGAGGAAATTTTCATACAAAGGAGGCACTTTTGCATATGGTAACAAACCTGTTTTAAACCCCTACACATACGGTTTTCAGAGAAACCACTGTCAATGCAGTGCTGAGCAGAGTTACATCCATTGAAGTCTTTGAAGAGTATTAACTTGTGAAGCTGCTACAATAGCCTTGCATATTCCAAATGAAGGGGGGAAAAGGCATGGTGCCTTGTTCCCCAGTTAACCTGATTGCAGCTGACATGCACTGATTGTACTGCTGAAGAAATGCCAAGAAGGGCAGCGGACGGGAATACTGCAAGTCAGCACTTTGCAAGAACAAAGGCTGTGATGCAAGGTGCCGTAACTCATCTTCGTGTATTTGGACCTCTTCCCACGTAACTCTTGTGGTGGCCTTTTAAAGTGATTCCATGTGTGAATCCATGGAGAAGTTTCGTTCAAATTAAGGTCGATAACTAACTCATCAAAACCCTTTTGATTGACAGACAAGACATCTCTCTTTTTTTTTAAAAAATGGCTGTTTTTAATAGATGGATGCCAGCTGCCATCATACACTGGCATCTGGGTTTGGCAGATAGTTCCAACTATAGTCAAGCCCCCAGGCAAGAGGAACAGGCACCAAGGTCAGGAGTCAATGCAGGGTGAGTTCCAAGAGGCATGGTCAGGTCCGGTTCAGAGGTCAAAGTACAAGAGTCAGGATGCAAGGTGGGGGGGGGTTTTCCAAAAAGTGTAGTCAGGTCTAGAATTAAGATTGTGGCACAAGGAGCCAGGATATAGAGAGCAAGTCCAAGAGGTGTAGTCAGGCCCCGAATAAAGATCAAGGCACAAGGAGTCAGGAAGCAAGGCTGATCCAGGGAATTGCCAGGAAAAGCAGGGAGCTGGAACGAAAGTTGTTGCCAGCGAAGAACTGGCTGTAACTACCCAGCATTTATGGGACTGCAGCAGTCCCTCCCTGTCCAGGTGTTTCATGTCCTTTAACAGGAGCCAACAGTTTTTCCAAGTGTGAGCACTTACTGCCACATTCACTTCTGCCTTTGTCTCGTCTCTCTTCAGTGCTCTAGCACAGGGGTGGCCAAACTGCAGCTCGGGAGCCACATGCATCTCTTTCACATATATTGTGTGACTCCCAGCAGGGCGGCTGGGAAACCAAAGGGAAGGCATGCCTCCCCGATCAATCTTCCCTTCCCCTCTTATCAACTGTCTTCATAAACTGTCAAAGCTCTAACTGTCACTCTAAACTGACATCCATACTCCTCCACTCATTTTTCACTTCCAAAACCCCTCCCCCTTTCTGCTAATCACCAATCACACCACACTTGCCTGTTTCAACCACTCTAGACTATCTCTCACAGCCATGCAACCAAACTTTTAAAGCGACACACACACACACATAACGAGGAATCGTTACAGATGCATATAATTATTGTTTGGTCTTTATTTTGGCTATGTACAGTACGTTTGTTATTTGCAGCGTGTTCCCCTCTCTCTCTATTTCTCTCTCTCTTAGACAAATAAGTATAATTAGCAAACAAATAAAGATCATTGGACAGATATCATTAGCAATATCTGTTTTTACTCCTTTTGTTTTTATTTTTGGCAGCCTCATTTAATGTTAATAAAAAGCAGATTTGCATATTTTCCAATAAAGCATGTGTGTAATATTTGCTCATGTCTTGCGGCTTTCAAACATCTGATGTTTATTCTATGTGGCTCTTATGTTACGCAAGTTTGGCCACCCCTGCTCTAGCAGCATAGGGGGAGAAATTTCCTCCTTGACTGCTCCAGTTGTAAATCTTGAAGGGTGCCCATATTTGGTGACGGCTCTGGTTGTAAACCTGGGGGAAGGTCTGCATCTGTTTCCCCAGGCATTCCTCACCTGCTTCTGAGTCCTCATCAGGGTCACTGTCGGCTTGACCTGGCTGAGGCACTGGGGAGACTGACTGAGCTGAAGAGTGAGCCATGACAAAAGATAGCTGTAGTCAGGTAACAGCAGTATTTGGAGCACATTTATTCAGTTGACTCTTCTGGAGACAATTCTGAGACCAGGGATCTGATAGGAATTCTGTTCACAGAACCATTTGTGGAAGAGTTATTATGTGGATAAACAGTGCCAAAGAACACATATGTTCATCTGGTGGGGGGGTCACAATAAAAAGGCATCTCAGGAAAATTAAGCATTATACCATGATCAGGTCACAATCAGTCCAAAACAGAGATGATGGAAAGATAAAAGTTCCCCTACCCACTGGAGAAAGTGTTTTATTCCACTACCATTGTTCCTAATGTTGTAGTTTTCACTATTAATATTGGGCCTAGTTCTGTATGGATGCATCCCTTTTGCCAAATAATGTCTGTTTTGTGGCTTGTTCTTTCAGCTGAGGGGTCCTTTACTCTTTGCTGACTTTTCCAAATTACTTTTTACAGCTTCTGGGTCACTTAACAGCATTGAGGCCACCATCCCTGTTACATTCAGCCAGACCAATTCATCTGGAGCTCCTGTTGGAAAAGCCTTAAAGAAAAGGGTGAACAAACCCCTTCTGCCTAGCATCAACCATGGCAGTAGTTTCCTGAAACATGCTTCAGGTGAGGCATGAAACTCTCATGCTATCTGCCTGTTCTAATTCCTAGTTTTATATTTGTCTTGGCCCTGGGCAGAGAAGCACCAGTGATAAGCAAAGGCTTCAGAATAATGTACACTGTAGAAAAGAAATGACAGAAAAGAGGATCTTAGCAGTCACAAGTGTTATAGGCGGAATCTGCATTTGTCTTTCCCACCAGTGTCCCAGCCTTTTGACTCCGCCTTCAAAAAAGCTGTCTACATTTGGTGTCGTTTTCACACCTCAAGAGTGCTAGCATACTTTTGCACATCCACATATGTTTATTGTCCTTTCAGGGCAGCTCCACCGTCATTGCACCTCCACACTGCTTTAAAAGAATCTTCTCCAAACAACATTCAAACAACCATAGAGAAAGACAGTGTCACAGCAGCACAAACATGATTTAAAAATGCAAATGCAGATTCGGCCATAGTCTCAATTTAACGTGGAAGCCAGTACCAGTTAACAGCTTGTCTGCTGTATTTTCTATCAGCTGAAGTTTCCACATGCTTTTCAAAGGAATCCTCATCTATAAAACTTTGCAGTAATTTTAGCCTGGATGTTACTAGAGCATGGGTAATTATGGCACAGTCATCTTTCTCTAAGAGGGGACACATCTGGCTCAACCAAATTTGTGGCACTATGAGCTGCAGATGTCACGTGTGCTTTCACCAGAAACTCAATACTTATCGTACCCCCTGGTATTGTTGGATAAAGAGTGCTGCGCCTCAGCTCCTTCACTTACATGTTTTGGCAAAGCCTTAACCAACAGTCCATCTTGTCATCCAGCCCATTACTGACTCCAACACCTGTCAAGGACATCCATGACTACACTTTTAACTGAAAACCTGGATAGTCTGACCTAACTGGCACATTAAAAATGTCAGTGGTAAAGTACGTAGGAGTCGATCTGCAACCTATGCACCTGGCTAAAAAAAGTACTTGCATCTCTCTGTGTGAAACCATTGCATACATCCGTTCTGCCTGTACTCTCAATCCACCAATTAAGTAACAGAGGATGTGGTCTTTCCTTCCAAGTAAATGTGCTGAGGATCAGGGCATAACCATTTCATTCACTCCTTATACTGAACACTGATCTGTCTGGTGTTACAAGTGTAATTGAATTTAAAAAAACTGATGTCTAAAATTGTACACATTATTCCAGCTAATTCAAACCATGTCCATGGAACAATTTCAGTTATAAGGAAACTGAGGAGTTGAAAGTGTACACTTTGCATAATGCAACCTTATTTGTAGCCTTAATTATGATCTCCTGACTATCAATGTCATTATATTAATTTTTGCTTTGGACTATTTTTGGCTTGCTGGCAAACCGGAATTCTCCAGAATGGGAAGACGACTTTGTAAAAAGAGAAGTCTCAGAAGTCCGTCCCTTGTCTCATCCAGATCAGGGGCTGGTTGCTGCTTTGAAGTGGCTCAACAGTAATGACTGGTAAGGAAAAGAAAGTGAACTGTGCCCCCTACCTCTAGGGTTCCCAAATCCAGGTGGAAAATTCCTGGGGATTTGGGGATGGATCCTGGGGAGGGTGGGGTTTGGGGAGAAGAAGGGCCTCAGTGGGGTATAATGCCATACAGCTCACCCTCCAAAGCAGCCAATTTATCCAGGACAAATGATCTGTGGCCAGATCACATTTTTCAAGGAACAAATATAGCTCGCATAGAGAGGTTCCAGAATTACAGACTATACAAGATAGATAGCAAGAGCACCTTAAAGACTAATAAAATTTGTGGCAGAGTATCAGCTTTGGGAGTCACAGCTCACTTCTTCAGATGCCATTTTAGTGCTCGAGATTACTGTAATGGGCTTTACATCGGGCTGCCTTGAAAATGGTCCAGAAAATTCGGCTTGTTCAAAATGCAGCATCTAGGCTACTGCCAGGGGCATGCAATCAAATCATATGTTGCTATCGTATCACCCCTGTGCTGAAAGATCTCCACTAGCTGAAAAATCTGCACTAGCTGCTCATTTGTTTCTGGACATAAGAGCATAACAAGAGCGCTGCTGGATTAGACCATCTAATCCAGCATCCTGTCTCGCACAGTGGCCAACCAGTTCCTCTGGACAGTCAACAACAGGGCATAGAAGCTGAGGACTTTCCCTGACATTGCCTCCGGGCTCTGGGATTCAGAGGCTTAGTGCCTCTGAGTGTGGCGGTTCCCCCTAGTCACCATGGCTGGTAGCCTTTGATAGTCTTATCCTTCATGAATCTATCTAATTCTTTTTAAATCTCTTTGTTCCTGTGGCCATCACTACATCCTCTGGCAGCAAATTCCACATTTTAATCACTCTCTGTGTAAAGTAGTATTTCCTTTTGTCAGTCCTGAACCTACTGCCCATCAGATGTCCTCGAGTTTTAGTTTTTTGGGAGAGGGAATAAAAATTACTCTTTGTCATCTTCATCCCATGCATAATTTTATAAACCTCTGTCATGTCCCCTCTTAGTCATCTCTTTTCCGAACTGAAAAGTCCCAGACGCTTCAGCCTTTTCTCATAGGGAAAGTGCTCAAACCCCCTAATTTTCTTGGTTGGCCTCCTCTGCACAGCTCTGCAGTATCCTTTTTCAGATACAGAGACCAGAACTGTACACAGTATTCCAAATGAGGCCACACCATAGATCTATACAGGGGCATTACAGTATCGGCTGTTTTATTCTCATTCCCTTTCCTAATAACCCCTAACATAGAGTTTGCTTTTTGCACGGCTGCAGCACTCTAGGTTGACACGCTCATTGAGTCATCCACTACAATCCCAAGATCATTTTTCCTCTCAGTCTCAGCAAGTTCAAACCCCATTAGCCTATACTTGGAGTTGGGATTTTTCATCCCAGTGTGCATCACTTTACACTTAACAACACTGAACTTCATTTGCCACATTGTTGCCCGCTCACCCTGTTTATGGAGATCCTCTTGGAGCTCTTCACAGTCAGCCTTGGTTTTCACCATCCTGAATAGTTTTGTGTCATCTGCAAGCTTGGCCACTGCACTAGACCCCGCCAGTTCCAGATCATCAATGAATAAATTAAATAATACCAGTCCCAATACCACTCCTTGTGGGGCCCCACTGCTTACTTCCCTTTATTGTGAGAACTATCCATTGATTCCTATTATTTGCTTCCTCTCATTTAACCAGTTTTTAATCTATAAGAGAACCCATCCTCTTATCCCATGACTGCTAAGTTTACTTAGGTACCTTAGGTACTTGGTGAGGTACCTTGTCAAAAGCCTTTGAAAGTCCATGTATATAATGTCTACCAGGTCACTGTTGTCTACATGCTTTTTGAAAGAACTCCAAAAGGTTGGTGAGGCAGGACTTCCCTTTGCAGAAGCCATGCTGATTTTCCCTCAGCAAGCTTTATCCCTCTATGTGCCTAACAATTCTATCTTTGATTACAGTTTCTACTAATTTGCCTGGGATAGATGTTAGGCTTTGTCATGATCCTAGACCTATAGTAGTGCAGCCTACAGACTCTAGGGAGACTTAGCTCCAGGGAAGCCTGTATTAGGTCCCGATCAGATGGGTTTTTAGATCTGTGCCAGGCATGAGTGCCAGGCGGATTTAAAGGTAATGACCAGACAGCAACATCTGGGAAACATGTCTCTTCCGTGAACATCCCGTTTTGCCATGCTAGGGAGCCGTACTTAATAGATACTGGTGAAAGTCCAGTGTTTTTGCTTCCTGATGGGCCACTGACGGACTTTTCCCCATCTGATCGCTCCATCGCACAATCAGCCCATTGGGATGGTCTGCCATCAGACCATCCCAAGCAGCCGCCATTAAAAAAAAAATCTAAGCGCTATGTGCATAAACAGGTAAACACGTGACAGCTGCAGAGCTTCGCTCAAAAGTTCTGGACAATTTCATGTTTCTGAACTGCCTTTGAATTTTATGAACTGTGTTAATTAAAAAGGTACCTAGAGGGAGGTACCACTGGTAGTGGTAGTAACCATTCAATTCCGCACATGCGTGGAAAAACTAGTACATGTTGAGGCGCAGATGTGCATGTGCAAACAGATTTTTTTTCAAAAAAACCTCGACCACGCGACTTCTTCAGGTGGATGCCATCTAGACAATCCACTGTGGTGTACGCACGCGGTAAAGGTCGTGCAACGCCGGATAAAAAAGATCTGGATCAAATTAGAGCTAGGCCAATGGCGGATTTAGCTGCCCGTCTGAACGCACCCTTAGGGTACCTATCGGGGCCTACATTTCTCAGGTCCTTTCTGGACCCTGTGATTGGTTAACAGGGGATTTGGAGGGAAAACTAACACCAGCAGAGGAGTAGAGGGTGGTGCCTGGGGAGAAGGAATAAAAAGTCTTGCCCAAAGTGGGAGGGTGTTCATTCCCAGGGAGCAGAGCTGTTGAGGTTGCTGGAGAGGGAGGGATCCCTCTTTCAAAAGGGGTGAGTCAGTTTGAGGCCAAATACCTAGAGAAGGCTAGGATTTCTTATTTTGCTGGTTTACCTACCTTTGCTGTGCTCATTTTTCCTACATGTTATTGAATTATAGTTGTTAAATCTCTTCAGTAAAAATAGTTTGTTACTCTGTCTGGGTCATCATGTCTCATCCAGTCACTTACAAGTCACTACTAGAAAAGGAGTGTATAAAGGGGTAGGGTGGATGCTCTGGGCCCTCTCGAGGAGACCCATACCAGAGTGGTGGCAGCCATTAGAGAACCTTTCTAGTTGCTGCCTGTGATAGGCTGACCAGCCTGTAATTTCCTGGTTCCCCTCTGGATCCCGTTTTAAAAATTGGTCAAAGCCCTATTGGTAGTGGCTTTGACAAGGGTTGGATGTGGCCCTTATAATAAACCAAGTCTCTATGTTCCATTCCAAACAGGTACAAATTGAGAATTCCAGGTGCAAAGCTATGCTGGTCTGTCGCAGCAAAGTTAAGCAGACGTCCAATTAAATGCTATTGGGATGAACTAGCTACCCCAGTTGCAGTTTTTTTGGTAGAGTTCTTTCTGAACTAATCCAGTCCTGTGAAACCACAGTTTAAAAGCTTTGGTGTAATTATTTCATGTTTTCTGAGCTGTAAATGGGATTACTGGCCAACTTCACTTGGGTATTTTATATTTTCAGTCAGATCATTTCTTTGGATGGGGCCTTTACTTAAAATGTTTGGTTTCTTTTTTGTACCTTCTTTATTTTGTCAAAGAGAGTTTTCACAAGAGGAAATAAAAAGCTTTTTTTTTTAACTAAAACTTATTATTTTTATTGTTAAAAGAACAATAGAACAGGAGCTCAATAATAATAACCAGAACAAGAATAATAACAGTAACAAAACAATAAGTACAAGAACAGTAAATTTTCATACCATAGCTCACCCACTATTGTGATTAATTTAGGAACAAGTAAGGTAATATCCAATCTAATGTATTTCTTGGGTAACTTATGTAATTCTGTTGGGTTCGATGAAACATACTCAAAAAAAGAAAACAATTTTTCAGTAAAGTCATTATTTTTTGTAGGTGTTTCAGTTAACAATCAACTGAGCTGCAATTTTGTCAGCAACAGCTATATCCCAAATTTTGGAGACCCATTGTTTTAAAGTAGGGGGTTTGTTCAATTTCCAATTTTGATCTACTAAGAGTTTTGCTGCAATAAGCAACAAAGAGGCTAATTCAGCTTCTTTTGTGTGTCTGTGGCACTATTTGAGGCATGTATGGATATGCAGGATAGATAAGGATTCAGAAGAGGAATTGAATGTACATTCTTGCCAGTGGTGGTTTGTGAGACTGATTTTAAGAAAGAAATTTAAGCCTCACTTGTGAGAGTTCCTGAAGAAACATAAGCAAGCATGCAAAAATCTTTCTTAGGCCCTGTGCTTTTGGCCATTCACCAACAGATGGTACTGTTAATTCACCAAGGCAGAGTCAGAAGGGATTATTGGCAAGAAAAGGGAAGGAAATGCAACCTTTGTCTCCTGAGACTCAAAGGAGAAAGTCTGTTGGGCAAGTTTCAGTCCTTCTCAAGCATGGAGCCTGTCATGTGGAACTAGTAAATCAATCATCCTCTTTTATTCAGCTTAATTCACAGAAGACTCTATCAGGCACATTGTCTGGTGAAAGACATCCCCCCCCCCACCGCCGCCAATGGTTTTAAAGCCCTGGTATATAAGAGTTTTTGTTAAATTCAGCATCTTTTAGCTTTTTTGTATTCCCAATGTGTGGCTTGTATGACACACCTCATTTTCAGACTCTTTGGCTGCTGTTGGAAATCTTGTTTCTGCAAAATGCCGGGCAAAACTAATAATTTTCTTTCTCTTCTCTCCCTCCATCTTTCTGATAATTACCTCTCAGGGAGCTGAAGGAGAAAGGACTCTTCATCATCAGATGCCTGGCAAACTGTCATTCAGAAATTCTTCTGTGTAGGCTTCATGATGTTTCCCTGGCAGTTACGAAAGAGGTGGGAAATGTGTATTTAACGTATGCCCAATCTACTTTCTCTGTGTGTTAACTGATGCTTTCCAATCTGTTTCTGTTTAGTCAGCGTGAGCAGCTTTTATACCTGTGTTTATATCTGCCTAGTTTTCTATTTACCTGTAGCAAAACAGGTAATTAATACCTGGTGTATAACCTGCATAGAAGAATCCCAGTTTTGCACAGAATTGATCATGCAAATCCATTAAGTCTGCATATATTGACTCAATTTATATAAAACTGTTCCAGAAAAGTAATGCGTTGAGAAATTTGGTTCTCCATTTTGGCTAGATTTGTGGTTCTGGACAAAAAAGAGAAAAACTGAATATAGATTAGAGACGGGTTCCAAGTAGGTCACGGAATAAGTATTCATGGGAAAGGGGAGACTAGGCTTGCCAGTCCCCAGGTTGGGGCAGGGGTTCCCCCAGTTTTTGGGACTTCTCTCTGCTAGGGCTGCCAAATTCCCCCGGGGGGCGGAAATCCCCCCCGCCCCAGCGTGCACGTCACAGGAAAGTGACGTTATGACGCCGGGCACGCTGGGGGTGGGGCCACGGCCATACAAGGGAAAACTCTATGGTTTTCCCTTGTATGGTCGTGGCCCTTCCCCCAGCGTGCCCGGCATCATGACGTCACTTCCCTGTGACATGCATGCGGCGCGTGCGTGCTCCAGGAACCGCACAGGAGTCCCCCGCCGGAGAGCTGAGTAACATTTGGCAACCCTACTCCCTGCCTTCAAACAGCCACGTCCCGTGTGACTTCCCTGACATGATGACATCTATGGTTTTAAGCTGGTTTTATCATAGAGTTTTGCCCTTAAACCAGAGCATCCCTGTGTGATTTTCCCAGCATGTCGGGGACATTCCAGAATGCCCCCACAGTCCCCCCGCCGGAGCAACGAGGAGACCTGGCAATCCTAGGAGAGGATATAGCTGTACAGGAAGTTGAAGTTCTGCTTCCTGAATTTGGGAGGCTGTGCTCAGCTGACCTCTCCCCCATTTCTCCATAACCATTCAACTCATAAATTTACTTTTTTAATAGCGTTGAGGGTGAGTGTGACGGAATTGAAAATCTGGGACCAGCAGAATGTTGAGATAGATCCCTGCTGAGTCACATGACTCAGGGGGGAGGGGGCCTTTTGGCTGGAGCACTCTCGGAGTGACAGAAAACTGACCTAACGGGCAGTTGGAAGAAGCAGTTGGAGAGTTGGACAGAGAAGTTAGCAGGAGTAATCGGCTAACAGGGCTCTGAGGAAACAGCCTGTTAACAGTTGGTGTAAATAACTGTGGCTGAAGAGCACTCTGCACTGATTCCTCTAACATACCGAGGAGAGTAAAAGTATAAGACCTGAGTGGTCACAGACACCAAAAACACTGCTCCACAGGGACTTATAACGTGGCTGAGCGAAGGCTAGAGTGTCTGGAGAGAGGAGTCTGGAGGGCTGGTTAGGTGACCAGTTAGACTCAAAGGGGCCAGACAAATAAAGCCAAAAATTAACCACTAAAGGAGTGACTGGAGAGTGAAATCTGAGGTGTGTGTTGTGAACTAAGGAACATCTAGGTACTGAACTAAGAGTGAAAAGCAGACAGCCTAAGCCAAGGCAAAGTGATTGGTTTATTCAACAAAGTATCAGAACATCCTGTGTAAATATATCCCATCCCCCTGTTGAGTTTTCTGTGGAACAATAAAGTAACTGTGCCTTTTGAATGTTACAAGTATTGGTGCCTGACTTTCTGGGGAGCCATATACTGTGCAGTAGTCTGCAAAGAAGACAGCCTGAAATAAACAAACCCCGAAGAGAATATTAGACATTGGGGGTATAGAGGACTGGTCAGGAAAAATAAAATCAACTCTGACTAGGTCCTGACACGCAGACCCTCACAGAACTGGGAGCATAAAGGGGGTTCGTGTCATAGTGAGGTTCACAAGATCTCTAGTCAAATGTCAGATATAACTAGCGTTTTGAACACACACACACACACACACACGTGTGCCATGGATCTATTACAGTTATTTACTTATAACATCTTTTGGGATTTGGCCCATACCTAAACCTTTTCAGAGCTGTGGTTTGCTTTTCCTACACTGCCTTTGACGGCATTATTTTTCTCTTTTGTTGTTACTGTCGGTATCTTGGATCTAGGGCCAGTGCTGAAGTCAGCCACTTATGCCTGTCGACCGAAACAAACATATATCTTTTGCCCATATTCCTGTACATATCTTTTAAAATCTTTCTCCACATTTCCTGTTCAACCACTTCAATTATGGTCATTTCTCCTACTATTATTTATTTATGTTTAGCTATTTATACTTTGCATTTCTACAACAAGGATTCAGATTGGTTTAGAACATCAGAAGGGACATGTTGAATCAGACCAAAGGCCCATCTAGTCCAGCATTCCATTCACACAGTGACCAGCTAGCTGCCTTTAGGAAGCCCACAAGCAGGAAGATTGCCAACAGCATTATCCTACCTGTGTCCCCAGCAACTGATGCAAAAAGGCATACTACCTCTGGTATTTGAGGGAGTAGATACCCACCATGATTAGTAGCCATTGGTAGCCCAGTCCTCCATGACTATGTCCATTCCTCTTTTAAAGCCTTACAAGTTGGTGGCCATGACCACATCCAGCAGCAGCGAATGACACAAAATAACTCTGCTCCTTCATTCTATCCTCACAGCAACAACCCTATGAAGTCAGTTAGGCTGAGAGACTGGCCTATGGTCTTTCAGAGATCTTCCATGGCAGAGTCTCCCAGATCCTAGTCTGACACCCTTAACCACTATACCGTGCTGAGTCTTCTAGATACAGACCCTTTAGTTTTGTGTTGGGAAGTGGCTGGACGACAAGAATCCTTATACTTTAGATGTATGTAGCAAGTGAGCATTAGGAACAGGGCCGTCTTGGATGCAGGGCTGAAATTATGGAATTCCCTCTATATGTCAAGTGCAACCTGTAGCAACCCTTCTGAACTTTAGATGCAGGTGAAGGCTATTCTTTTCCCATAAGCTTTTTACTAAGTACTGGTTGAGGTCCCTGTCCCCCGTCCCCACATCCTTCTTCATCCTTAGGTTTTCTGCTGTTCTTTATTATGGTTCTTATGGTAGTTTTATTGAAGATTCTTAGTGTATACTGATATTTTTATTTGGATTATTGTGTGCTTTAATTATTGGTAGTTTACCAGTACTGTAATTTTGAATACTGTTGGAAGCTGTCTTGAGAGCAATAACACTAAGGGGTTGTGGTATATATTTTAAAATAAAATCCTATACGACATATGAGCATGTAAAATTTCCTAGAAGTTGGTTGGCCAAACGCAGGCCTGACACAGACATCTGTCTGTAAGGACATTCATCTTCTGGCTGCCTGTTGACATATTTCTTAAGACTGCTTGTCTAGAATCATAGTCCTCAGAAAAAGGGTGCAGCAGAATGTGATGCTTCAGGGTTAATACATATAAGTCTTTGGCAACTCTAACCAGAATTGAAAAGCCGAGTCCTCTTGTTTTCTCCTGGCTTGCAAGTGTCACTTTGCGTTGTCAGTCATTAAACTCCAAACACATAAAGCTGGTGAGAGGAGAGACAAAGATGGTGGTAGCGGAAACATCAAGTGTGTGATAAAGTGGGAGGAATGCACTTCAGCAAGGTCTGTAGAGAGGTCACGATTCCGGAAATAAATTCCCAAACTGATACAAAGTTCTGCTAGTATACCTGCATAATAGGATAGGTTGTTTGTGTTAAAAAGGCATATACTGCCTTTATGTCCAGTAAATCTTCAAGGTGATTCTTAGTAAAATAAATGAGTGAAAATGAAAATCAGTGCCTCAACGCATGTACAGAAAGGACAGAATAAGACTAGTCCTGCAAAAATGCAGATTGGGTTCACAGTAGACAAAGAAAACTACAGTGTAGTGGTGGGGTACAGATCTTTCTTCTTCAACTGTACCTCTAAACTATAAAGATAGGGTAGAAGACGCTGTATTCAGGCAGAGTATTGGTCCATCTAGCAGTGAATCAAGTGGCAGCAGCTTTCCAAGGATCAAGGCAGAAGTTCTTCCAAGTCCTGTTACTTACGATCTTTTGATCAGAGATGATAATGGTTAAATGTGGGACCTTCTGTATGCAAACCGTGTATTTTCTTTTATATAACTTTGGGCTATGGCCCCAATATGTATGAATTAATCCTTGGTCTAAATGACTTGCAGTACAATTCTAAACAGAACAAAGCTTTAGTCCAGTGGCACCTTTAAGACCAGCAACGTTTTATTCAAGGTATATATATTTCATGTGCAAGTACACTTCTTCACACAAAAGCTTGTAACATGAATAAAACTTTGTTGGTCTTAAGGGTGCCACTGGACTCAAACTTTGTTCTGCTGCTTCAGACCAACATGGCTATCCACATGAATCAATCCTAAACAGAGTTACACTCTTCTAAATGCATTGAAATGAATGGGTTTAGAAGGACATAATTCTGTTTCGGATTGCACAATTGATCGTTGACATGATTCTGTGTAGTAATCTACTGGATAGGTGTATAGTTGTGTATCTATCAGGGTAGGTGTATATAGCTGTCTATCTATCTACCTGTTTATTTATTTACTCTGTAGTCATATTTTGAGTACAAAATGGGTGTATAGCATGCCAGTTAAGGGCGTTTCTCTGCATCTCCTGTGTGTCTGTCTGCATTCATTTGTCTTTTATAAGCATGTGTATTTTGCTTTTGGCATTCAAAACCCAAGTAAGCATATTTCAAAACATTTCTTTCTATGTGTCTTCTCTGTCTTCTGTCAACAACTTATCGTTGCCTGGGATTTTGCCTATGTTTCCAACATGAGAAAGGGAAGGGATCGCAAAATCTGCCATTTTTGTGTCCAAGTATTCCTAATTCCAGTCACCGATGCTCTTTTCTCAAGCCCAGTTTCAGTGTGGCATTGCTAGAGAGCCCGTGCTGAGCCGGCTAGTACTTGGATCCTAGGGTGCTTGTTCACCCATGGCTTCTCGGAGCAGCCTTGCTATTTATTTGACCACTTAGTGGAGAGATTTCATTGCTTTCATTTTAAACCTTTCTCGTAAAAAGCAGGAGGTAAAAGAAACCACAGGGACCATCTCTATGCTTGTTCAGTTGGGCTATTAACATAGCAGAGTTGGCAAGTCTATTAAGCCTTCCGTCATCTGCAGCAAATAATGGCATTTTGACCAACTGTGTAATTTGTAGTCTCCAGTTTTTCTCTCCAAACTTATAATGAAATAGAATTTATTTCCAGGAGATGAAATCTTTGATTATTACTATGTGAAACTCTCCCACCCTGTAAACTTAAACATCCTTTGAAAATATGGGGATAGAGACTGTTGCTCAAAATGTTTGTTTATAATCATTATCTATCTATCTATCTATCTATCTATCTATCTATCTATCTATCTATCTATCTATCTATCTATCTATCTATCTATCTATCCATCCATCATCTAGAAGGACATAATTCTGTTTCGGATTGCACAATTGATCGTTGACATGATTCTGTGTAGTAATCTACTGGATAGGTGTATAGTTGTGTATCTATCAGGGTAGGTGTATATAGCTGTCTATCTATCTACCTGTTTATTTATTTACTCTGTAGTCATATTTTGAGTACAAAATGGGTGTATAGCATGCCAGTTAAGGGCGTTTCTCTGCATCTCCTGTGTGTCTGTCTGCATTCATTTGTCTTTTATAAGCATGTGTATTTTGCTTTTGGCATTCAAAACCCAAGTAAGCATATTTCAAAACATTTCTTTCTATGTGTCTTCTCTGTCTTCTGTCAACAACTTATCGTGGCCTGGGATTTTGCCTATGTTTCCAACATGAGAAAGGGAAGGGATCGCAAAATCTGCCATTTTTGTGTCCAAGTATTCCTAATTCCAGTCACCGATGCTCTTTTCTCAAGCCCAGTTTCAGTGTGGCATTGCTAGAGAGCCCGTGCTGAGCCAGCTAGTACTTGGATCCTAGGGTGCTTGTTCACCCATGACTTCTCGGAGCAGCCTTGCTATTTATTTGACCACTTAGTGGAGAGATTTCATTGCTTTCATTTTAAACCTTTCTCGTAAAAAGCAGAAGGTAAAAGAAACCACAGGGACCATCTCTATGCTTGTTCAGTTGGGCTATTAACATAGCAGAGTTGGCAAGTCTATTAAGCCTTCCGTTATCTGCAGCAAATAATGGCATTTTGACCAACTGTGTAATTTGTAGTCTCCAGTTTTTCTCTCCAAACTTATCATGAAATAGAATTTATTTCCAGGAGATGAAATCTTTGATTATTACTATGTGAAACTCTCCCACCCTGTAAACTTAAACATCCTTTGAAAATATGAGGATAGAGACAGTTGCTTAAAATGTTTGTTTGTAATCAGCAGGAGGTAAAAGAAACCACAGGGACCATCTCTATGCTTGTTCAGTTGGGCTATTAACATAGCAGAGTTGGCAAGTCTATTAAGCCTTCCGTCATCTGCAGCAAATAATGGCATTTTGACCAACTGTGTAATTTGTAGTCTCCAGTTTTTCTCTCCAAACTTATAATGAAATAGAATTTATTTCCAGGAGATGAAATCTTTGATTATTACTATGTGAAACCCTCCCACCCTGTAAACTTAAACATCCTTTGAAAATATGGGGATAGAGACTGTTGCTCAAAATGTTTGTTTATAATCATTATCTATCTATCTATCTATCTATCTATCTATCTATCTATCTATCTATCTATCTATCTATCTATCTATCTATCTATCTATCCATCCATCATCTATCCATCATCTATCCATCATCTATCTATCTATCTATCTATCTATCTATCTATCTATCTATCTATCTATCCATCCATCCATCCATCCATCCATCCATCCATCCATCCATCATCTATATAATTAAGCCTCCCCCCCCGTGGATACCTAAATCTGTGGATTGGGGCCACACTGAAGCTAAACAGACATTTCTGCAAATGTGAGAAATCCCCTATATTTGCAGAGAAATCTGAAATAGTAACACAAATATATTGGGGTTAAATTGCCCCCCAAATAAAACAGTGTTGTCTGACCATGTGCAGACAACACACTTAGAAGTAGAGCTGGCAGTGACTGCAGCTTTGGGTGGCTTGCTACCAATGTTGCATCTAAACTCCACAGTGTTATGGCAGGGGTCTTTTTGTAGAAAGAGAGCTGCCGGAGCTCATTAGCATAACTCATTAGCATATGCCACACCCCCTGACATCACCGGAAGTGTGTCATAAGGCCACACACCCTGACATCAACGGAACCTCTTGATGACTGTTTTTTGTTTCTTGTCCTTGGCCCTTTCAGACTGTTGGTTATGGTCCAGCTCCCCCTCTTCCCGTCACATGACTCTGATATCACATCCCGGGATGCTCCTTTGTGAGCGACTAGCATTAAAGCTATGGCTACTGCATAAATTAGTTTGCTCTGGAGGCATCTTTCCTGAATTAAGACAAAAATGTATGAACTGTATTGGTAGACCAGGCCTCAGACCGTTGCCCTGCGCTGAGCCTTAGAAAACATAACAGCACTTTTTTTGGGGGGGGGGATTCTTGCAGTGTACTTTGGAGTTTTTAAAAGTGTAATATGACAAATTACAGGTCAAGTATAACAGAGGTGGAACAATCACTGCCAGAACTCTGCCTAACCTAACAAACAGGATGTTGCTCAAATGTTATCAACCTGCCCAAACTACTCATTTATTCAGATATTCAAGGCAGCTTATAAATCATACTGAAAAGTTTAATGAGTGTGCAAAAAAAAATCTTTCCCCCAGCTCCATTATAGCCTATGGGGGACCATTGTAGTCAATGGGCCCCACAGGCTAAAATGGAGAATCGATCCCAGGGTTATCTGGGGCTCGGGAGGGGGCTGTTTTTTGATGTAGAGGCACCAGAATTGCAGCACAGCTGCTGATGTCTCTCCTCAACCCCCCCCCCCAAGTTTGAAAGAGATTGGACCGGGGGTCCAATTTTATGGGCCTCAGAAGGAGGTGCCCCCATCCTCCATTGTTTCCACTGGAGGGGAAAATGTCTTAGTGTGTGCAGAAGCTTAAATTCCCTGAGCTGGCAGCTAAAATTTTGTGTGCCAGCACCCCCTACTGCAGCTTAGAGGGAACTCTCCTTGCTACCACATTATTTCCTTGACTTACTTAGGTCCAAATGCTTCCTGCATTTCAACAGTAGTCATCCAACAAAAGCCAGTGTGGTGTAGTGGTTACTGTACTCATTCCATAGCAGTACCAAAGCAGAATACAACTTCATTAGAACATAGGCAAGGCCTGGTTTAGGCCCTGGTAGGCAATAACCAGCCAGAGCTAGCAACCAATATAATAAGTGAAAAGTAAAACTAAAGCAAAGGCTTTTTCCTTAAGGGATTATGTTAAAATAAGCATCAACAAATTCACAACTCCCCATGGTATGACATCTAGGGTTTCAGGTTAGGGTCTGGGAGATCAACTGTGAATCCCTGCTCTGCCATGGAAACTCACTGGGTAACTGGGCCAATTGTACACTCTCAACCTAACATACCTTATAGGACTGTTGCGAGGCTAAAATGGAGGAGAGGAGATGTAAGCTGCTTTGGTTCCCCACTGTGGAGAAAGGCAGGGTACAAATGAAGTGAATATATATAGCTGGAGACAGGAGGCAGATAAAAGTTAAGTTGGTGGGTGGGTTTGAAGAAGAGAAGGAAGCAGGGAAAGGTGAGGATGTAGGGGTTGCCAGCAGGAAACATGGAAAAATGAGGTGCCTCCCTACGGTTGCTATCCTCCAGGTGGTTGTAAAGATACAAGGATTATTTTCTTCTCCAGCAGAAGTTCTTGCTTAGAGTTATATCATTTTTCATTATGTCCCTTGCCCAGTTTTATCTTTCATAGTCCATGTGATAGATTTTTGTTATCTATTTTTTAAAGTGATATAAGACAGAGGGATCTGCCAGGCACTTCCTGATGACTGGTGTCTCCACCCATTTGATGCATTCCCCTCCCTTCAAGATGTTTGTATTAAATTCAAAGGGAAGGGGAGTCTCTCACAGAAAACACAACAGTAGGATGGTGCTCAGACCAGCAAGCAAACCTGACTTGGAAGCTTTCATAGAGAGAGTATTCCACACTGCCTGTAGTGTTTGTGTGTGTCTGTGTGTATAGCTAGCCTGCAAATGGGCAAAATCCAAACATGCATTCTCTGTTGTGGCCCCCACTTTGTGGAGTGGTCTGCCTGATGAGGTCAGGGAGGCTCCACCTTCCTGGCTTTCCACAAGCTATGCAAAGCTGAATTAATCAAGAGGGTGTTTTTGCACAGGTAATAGAGCTGCACTATAACAATGTGGCTCAGAGAAAGGCCTGGGCTGGAGGGTTAGGGACTGTGGACTGTACCATTGTGCATAGTTTGTACTGTCTGTTGCCGTAAGTAGCCTCCTACTACATCATTTTTACTTTTGTTTACTGTGTCGTGTTAACACTTATACTGTGATTCACTTCTGGTTGTTTTTCCAGGATTGCTACCAGTCAAATGCCTATTGCAATGTGTTTTGGAGATTTTACTTTGTTGATTGTACTGATTTATTCTATGTAATCCACCTTGAGTCCCAGTGAGAAAGGTGGGCACTATATACTGTAAATAAATAAATAAAAATAGTTGTTAAAATGCATTCTTATTTGTGTGGCTTGCTTGCCCTGAGCTGGGTGGTAGTGGATAGGCTGAATCCCTCAGGTACCGGGTGCAGGATCTACTGTGGGACTGAATCCTTTCTCGTTACTGGAAAGGTTACTCTGTGAGAAGCATGGAGCAGTCTTCTGTAAGAGTTCAGCATCTTGTAGCATGCAGTTCTAACCACTACACTCTACCAGCTCTCTGTTCATTGTTGAACTAGTCTGTTCACTGAATCAGAACTTGCAAATGTGATCATGTGGTTTTTAAACACTTCAATCCATAATGTTTTCTTTACCAGGTTAGTAACCTCCGGTCAAAAGTGTCTCAGTTTGCTATCGGGAGCATCACTGAACTCTTCAAGACCTTGAAGAAGCACATGGATCATGAGGTTGAAGAGATTGTTCAAGTCCTTCTCCAGAAGATGGGGGATTCTAGTGAATTCATCCAGAAAGCGGCTAACCAATCCTTAGGAGTCATAGCACAAAGTGTGACTCCTTCACGAGCATTTGCAGCTCTCATGGCCAATGGAGTGAAGTATGTAATTGCTTTTTTTCTCTTATACATTGTCACTGCCTAATAAGTACATGAGCATGGGCAGGAAGCTTTAAGGCTTGCAGAGCATTGGGCAAGATAAAGGGGGGACATCTGCTGGAGGACAGATGCCCATAGCCCTATGTGAGCAAAGAGGGGAAAGTCAGACAGAACAGCAGCAAGTCGACTGACTACGCAGCTTCTTTCTTGACCAGTTATTGGGGTGCCACAGAGACTGGAAGGTCCTGGGACTATCACCTTCTGGCATCAAGTTTTCTGAACTCAGCTGGATTTTAGGACATAACCTTGGAACCCAGTCAGATATAGGATATGTATTTGCCTCATTTTGCCCTTCCTTTTTATCTGCATGTAGCAACTAAAACATGGCTATAGCCTGTATAAAGTGTGTCACTGTGTATAGTGTAGCCCCTTCACGTGAACATAAATTTCTGGTTACTTAATGATTTGCTGTATGTAAAACAAAATTGTGGATTCAGATCAGATCCCTGTGTACCCTTTGGCTGAAGATGCTGGCAAATTTCAGATGCCATTCCTCTGTGCTTCAGTGTCCTTCAGCTCACCCTCTTGCACTTACTGTGCTCCGTGATTACCTGCATTGCAAATTCAGAGAGAGTTTGGGTAAATTCGTATACTACCAGCGAGTCAGCTGCTCTGTCTCTCTATTAAGGTAATTGGCTTCTTAGGCATGAGTAATATGTTTGTAGTGTGGCAGAGTTGCTGGCAACCTCCCTGGGGACCCTTAGAGGGGGCCTGTTAAGGCACCTGAGTGATGATCTTCTCTAAGGGAAGCTGACACAGTATGGAAAAATGGGTTGTAACCCTCTGTTCTAATCAAAGTAGAGTGCTTATTACTACCAGGCATTCATACTTTCCAGGGCCCAGCTTTTATTGCTTTGGAGTCAAAGAGCGTCCTGCTTTTGATTGCTTTGATATCATTTCTTTCCAGCCATCGCAATGCCCTTATTCGAAAATGTGCTGCTGAACACTTATTCACCGTTATGGAACAGATCGGGGCTAAGAAGCTGCTTTCAGGCAGCCGAGGGAGTGTGGATACACTGGTGCAGACCCTGGTCAAACTGGCTCAGGACTGCAATCAAGACACAAGGTAACAGCATCCCTTCCCTCTAGAAGATGGAATACGGTAGTGTATAATGACAGGAGGGCAATCTTTTCAGTGTTGCTCTGCAATATGAAGTCATTGGAGAGTAGACCTCTAACTGCATAAACATTGCATGGGCCACTGGGCTGAGTTACCGTCCCCCCCCCCAGCTGACACATCTTTATTTTTACAAAAGTAAATTTATTGTTGAATATAAGTCTTATAGAACAGAAATATGCAACAGCATTTTAACCAGAAATGAATGCTCTAGCCATGCTTAATAGTCCAGAAGTTGTAGCTGGACATAGACATTCTAGACCTTGCCACAGACAATGAGCTGTGTAGCATGCATACATGAAGTTGGCCAGCTAAAGAGACAATGACTTCCTTTTTAAAGTCCTGTTTCTTTGCTGGAAGAATTTAGCAAAGAAGGTATTTGATGCAGAGCAGTTCTATAAACACACCTGGGGAAAGGAGCTATTTTTATAGTTGTTCAAACTTTGAATTAACAGTAAACTTAATATATTGCACAAGCTTTGCAAGAATGGTCAGGATACATGGAAATTAATTAAAATATATGGTTACAAGTCAGTAAAAATGTCCCTGGTATTAAATCAGATATTGAAGAAACGTAATAGCTGAGACATGTCATCAGTGTACATTTCAGGAATCAGGCCAAAGTTAATCTGGATCTTTTGACTTTTGATAGTTGTCCATTTAAGACAGGTGTATTTCGTACCTTTTGCTGTCGCCTATATTCTTCTGTGAAATATTAGATAGTATGCAGATTAAGCATAAGGAGGCATTTAAATTTCTGACATGTCTCTTGCATGCACTGGCGAAGCAGGTCAAGAGAAGAAAGTTAACAGACAGACTTGCTATTACGAATTTGCCCTCCCTCACAGGATTCCCTATTCTCTTGTTCTTAGCTGAGCAGCCTTATTTTTCTCTGTCTGTCCCACCCAGTAATTTGAAAGTGGACTCCACTTAGGAACTGAGGGGAGAGACTAGAATCCTTCTTTTGTCCTTGTTGGATAGTGTCACACAAGAGGCTAATGGTTAATCAAAACTAACAAATTGTTTTATTTCTCTTTGATGGGAAAGGGTCAGGTAGGAATCAGTTTAGGTTTTATGATGTGAACAGGCAACAAAAATGAGGTAACTTTGTATAAAAACAAACATCAGATAATTTGTCAAAAACAAGTAACTGCTTCTGTTATTCAGAAAGGTCTTTAAAACTTGAGCGAGATTTCCTAGCTGTCTCTGCCTACATAAATAAGCATAAGCTTTTTGGTCTCACAGACTCTAAAGTTGGTGAAGGAGCGAGATTTCCTAGCAGTCTCTGCATACATAAATAAGCATAAGCTCTTTGGTCTCACAGACTCTAGTTAAATAAAAATGCCAGTTTCCTCCCTTATCTACTGCCTAGGGATCACCCTCATTTTCTAGGTGCTATTTCCCTCAGACTTGATAGGATCATCCCCCTACACTAGGAGCTATTTCCCTTGATAGGGATGGACTATGCATCCCACTTCCCTAACTCAGGATCCTTCTTTTTCCTCTCACAATCTGCTTTGCTGTCTCACTATTAACTCTCAACTCCCAACTGACACTTTCAACTGAAGAATTCCATTTGAATCCTCTGTCATTCAAGGTTCTCTGACCAGGTTATAGCATTAACCATTTACTGTCTGTCACACTTGTGTACAGACATGAGAACATTTATCATAGTAGATGCTGAATGACTGCAGCTCTGTTCTTCAAAAGAGATAAATGTGTATGAAGGAGGGGCGGCCTCCAAACGTGTATACCAATTGAGGATTAGAAAAGATAAAGCAAAATGAAGGCTGAAGGAATCTGAATTGTGCCTTAAAATCTCTTTTTATTATTGATGATGCTCTTGAGGTTCTCTTTAAACAGTTAAATTAATGGATAAAAAGATAAATAACTTAGCATAACCGACTATGTTCAATGTGGTATTAGCAATTTTAGATTAATATTAACATAAGCTGTTGTTATGATCTCCTATTCTTGGGGTTTTAGTTATTAGTGGTTTTCTTTCCTTTCTCCCCTAGATGTAGTTACCCTTCCCTGTTTTTTTGTTGTAGTTTATTTAAAAAATGCAATAAAAAATCCCCTCCGGGGGGTTAAAAAAAGAGAGATAAATGTGTCGATAGCAGGTGGAACTGAAATCCCCCTGTTTACTAATGTGTTACAGAAAGTACTGAGGAGATCTTATAGCATGAAAACCAAAACCTAGTCAATGAAGGTGCTTTGATTCCTATTAACATTCATAAGTATTCCCTTAGGCCTAATCCACAAAGCAGAACCTGTACCATTTGATAGATCATAGGAGTAAACAGAACCAACAAAATGCCTTGGGCTTTCTCCTTAAAAGAAAAGCAGGAAATACACTCCTGAAAACAAATAATAAATACATACATTAAATAAGTTGATATTTATTAATCAACTGCTTTTTATCTCCTCATTATCTGTAGGGAACTATATTAGTTATAAAAGCACGAAGGATGACTACAACAATTTATGTTTGAAAATAATAAAAGACCTTGCAAACAGTCTGTCAATTGGTATTGCATTTCATTAGCAATACAAACGTCAGCAGGAGCCATTACCCAGTTTCTGAATGGTTCAATGAAACCTGAAGATGAGATTTTGCTGTCAAACACTATAAATTAACTTTATCCTTCCTACCCTAGGTTTTATGGCCGGAAGATGCTGAACGTACTTATGTCCCATTCAAAATTTAATGGGTACTTGAAGCAGTGTCCACCATCACATGACTTGAGTTATGTCATGGCCACAATTAAGCAGAAAGTAAGTATGAGGGCACAAAAAATATTTGGAATAAAAGTCCAGTCAGGTGTTCAAACAAATGAAGCACATGTTTAATACATAGGAATGAAGCACATGTTTGTGTATCCACCTCAGATGTTACAAAGAAGGTTGGTACACTATGAAAAGACTGGGAACCATTCCTTACTGGAATGTGTGAAATTGCCATTTTAATTAAAAAGGCTGCTTTTTTTTTTTAACCTAGAGGACAGAAGACCAGTCATCCCAAGCACCTTCAGCCAAAAATCCAGAGAGGGTCAAAAAGCAGTAGTTTGACCCTGGACAACATGCCTTCAGATGACGGGTATGGAGCATTAGCTTGGTTTTCTGTTGTCCATAAAGATATATCTCCTGTAGCTGGGCTGAAAACGAAGGCTCAGGTTCTACAGTAAATCTCCACTGTCAGCAGGGCAGGACTTCCTCAGCTTTTCCTTTCTGCTGTAACACAAAGTGCTATTCTTAGGGACAGAAGATTCCAGGAACAGCATTGGGTAGAGCCTGGGATCTGCAGTGGGAGGGGAGAAATGGCAAAAATTGCCTGTCCTCCTGTTACTGGAAACTTTCCATGGGATTTAACCCAAAGTAAGTTTCCACAAAAACCCAGCGGACTATACCAAGGTGGGCTTTTACACTTTGACATGCAGAAAGGATACATAAGAGGAGAGCTTGTACCTTTCTTTCTACTAGCTGCCTTTGTCTTTTTTCTGTGATATAATTATTTTGGCTTGGATTAATTTTCTAGTCCTCACAGTTTCTGACAAGAGCCCATGTGGGTCAGAACATATGAAAGACTCAATAATCAAAAAGGATAATAGGATATGCTAAATAATTTGCTGTTGTTCCCATGTATCCTAATCCATTTCTCCCTAAGCCTTCTGTGGCAGTTGCTGCGACCTACCCATGAAGGGGGCATTACTTTAAACAGCCAAATGGAGATTAAAACATCTTTGACTAGTATTAAATACTGGGTTCTAGATGCATGGCAGTGATCAGCTCATGTTTATTCAGTGATTTCAGCAAAACTACAAGACAAGACTCCAGAGCCTCAGGTCTGTTAAGTAGCATGCAATTGCCACACCCAAACACATCCCACTCCCAGTGATAGGCTAGGGAATCCAGGCAGGACCGCTGGAGAAGTTCTGCATGTAGATGGGGTCGCCGGGAAAGAATCCTTGGGGAGCCTCTTGGCTCTCTGGAGACGGGCGGTTTTCCAGTTGGTCTGGGTGCAGTCTGTCAAATTGGGTGGTTAGGCGCCTGCCCATGAGGAGTTCCACAGGGCTGCGGCCGGTGGAGGTGCTCGGGGTCAACCGATGGCCAAAAAGGAAAGCCGCAAGCCGCAGCCTGTCAAATCGGGTGGTCAGGCGCCTAACCATGAGGAGTTCCACAGGGCTGCGGCCGGTGGAGGTGCTCGGGGCCAACCGATGGCCAAAAAGGAAAGCCGCAAGCCTGTGGTCCCAGTCCCCATGAACGATCCGCCAAAGGGACTTTTTCATGGTTGTTGGCCAGGTGAAAGGGAGCGGAGCGGATGTGCCGGATGAGGTAGCAGCCCATAAATTCTTGGAATTCCCCCGACATGAAGGCTGTTCCGTTGTCTGTCACGATTGTGTTGGGCAAGCTTTGCGTGCTGAAAATCCAGCGGAGGGCCCAGATCACCACCTTGGAGGAGGTGGAGACAACCAGCACCACTTTCAACCATTTGATGTATGAGTCCAGGCCCCCCTTGGAAGTGGCCCGCAAAGTCCAGGTGTACCCAGGACCATGGTTTGTGGGTGAATTCCCACTGCTGCACTGGTGTCCTGGGAGACTCCGGTTGGGTTTCTTGACAGGCCTGGCAGCACTTGACCCAGGCCTCTATTTCCCCATCCATGCCTGGCCACCACACGTAGCTGCAATATAGCCAGTGCTTTCATCCACACAATTCTGGGGTGTGTCTCATGCAGAGCTGAAAGTACTTGCTGGCACAAAGGAGCGGGCACCCGGCTCCCCCACAGCAGGCAACCCTTGTGGGCTGATAACTCGTCCCTGCAGGAGGAGAACGCTGCGAATTCTGGGCCTACCCAGCTGGTGGGCCAGCCCCTCCCCACCCAGTCCAAAACATGGGAGAGGACACAGTCCTTTGCAGTGTGGTGGGATATGTCGGTTACCTCTAGAGGCCAGTCGGGAAGTTCCTGCATGAACAGGATTTGGTGCACAGGAGCAGGGTTGGGATCACAAGAGGGAAGCGGCAGGCAGCTAAGGGCGTTGGCATGTCCCATCACCTTCTCTGGGTGGTGGAGGAGAGAGTACTGGTATCCCGCCAGGAAGATTGACCATTGCAGCACTCGAGGTGAAAGCATCTGTGGAGTCTGGCGATCTGGAGCTAGTAGGCCCAGCAGGGGCTTGTGGTCAGTCACGACGGTGAACTCCCGCCATGATAGCCAGCACCTCCTTGTCAATTTGCATGTAGTTGCACTCAGTTGAAGACAGGGTGCAGGAGTAGTACACCATGGTAGGACGGCTCCTACCCCATATGGGGAAGCATCACAAATATAGCCAGTGCTTTCATCCACACAATTCTGGGGTGTGTCTCATGCAGAGCTGAAAGTACTTGCTGGCACAAAGGAGCGGGCACCCGGCTCCCCCACAGCAGGCAACCCTTGTGGGCTGATAACTCGTCCCTGCAGGAGGAGAACGCTGCGAATTCTGGGCCTACCCAGCTGGTGGGCCAGCCCCTCCCCACCCAGTCCAAAACATGGGAGAGGACACAGTCCTTTGCAGTGTGGTGGGATATGTCGGTTACCTCTAGAGGCCAGTCAGGAAGTTCCTGCATGAACAGGATTTGGTGCACAGGAGCAGGGTTGGGATCACAAGAGGGAAGCGGCAGGCAGCTAAGGGCGTTAGCATGTCCCATCACCTTCTCTGGGTGGTGGAGGAGAGAGTATTGGTATCCCGCCAGGAAGATTGACCATCGCAGCACTCGGGGTGAAAGCATCTGTGGGGTTGGGTGATCTGGAGCTTGCAGGCCCAGCAGAGGCTTGTGGTCAGTCACGATGGTGAACAGCTGCCCCGAGAGGTAGTTGTCACAGGAGCTTGACGATGACCCAGCGCTGTGCTCGTCACTCGAGCTCCCCTGTTCGCCCAACTCGGCCACATTGACTCCCCCTCCCGGTCGTAAGGAGAATTCAGGCCTCAGACACCTGGACGGGGGAGGGAGGTAACGTCACCTCCCTACCCACGCGTCCCTGAGTCAGAAGTGGGGCTTCTTTAAACGCTGCAAGAAGTGTGGAAGTAAATTGGCTCCTCCAGACGGCCATGAACTTTGCTTGCTCTGCCTAGGCGAGTCACACAGAGCAGATACTTGTAAGCATTGTGCCAACTTTTCCAATCAGACGAAAAAGAACCGTGCTGCACGATTAAAGGTCGCTCTCTTGGAATCTGCTCTTCACCCGTTTTCCGCTATGCCGGGCCAACCTTCTACCTCACGTGCAGCCGTCGATACCGAGGCATCGATAACGACAAGATCGACATCGAAAGTCTCATCAAAACAGTCTACTAAAGGCAAGTCTGGAAAGCAGCATTCCATGAAACAGGACAAGCAGTCCAAGTCGTCTAAGGAGGGTAAGACCGGGCCCTCTGAGGGCGTTCCCTTACAGAATCCGCCACCGTTACTGCCGGAGTCTACGGCTGCGTCGACATTGAAGGATGCACCGATACCGACAGAGGTACCGATACCGGAGCCACTACCTCCGTCAATATCACCTGGCTTACTGGCTTCATCACTAAGCCAACAAATGCCAGAGATTGTCGATATCGATACGGCGGAACTCATGAGTCACTCAATCGGTGCAGAGTTTTCCCCCGCAAGATCTGATTCATCGGCATCGATGCTCATGGACATGGCCGATACCGGTGGCCGTCGATACCGACCGAGGCAGAATGTGGAGCGATACCAACCCTCGCAATTGATTCCGGCTGTCGATACCGATGTCTCTAACTATCGTCATGCAGCCCAAGGGCAAGTTCATCCTAGGGCTCGAAGCCGATCTCCGCGGTCGTATGGGCTTTCCTGGGATGAGAGGCAAATGAGATATCTATATGGGCCATATCACCCTCCAATGCCATGGCTCCAACATGCTTCATATCAAGACTGGGACCGTTATTCTGTTCATTCTCACCACAGATCCAGGTCACCTGCTAGGTCTAGGCCTACTGCCACAATTTCGAGGCCTCCAGACAATCCTCCACCATTAACACTAGAGGTGCAACCTGTGGCCCCTACATCCAAGCCTGTGGCTCCTCCAGTACCACTCGTCCATATCACTCCTCAGACTGATTCAGAACAGGGTTCATCAGATGAGGTGGACGAGAATTCAGATTCAGATTATTCCGTAGTACCTACGTCTCCGGACCACACCTCTCCTACTCCTGATGTGGCCCAAGACCTGCCTATTTCTCCTTCAGACAATATGCATGCTTACGCGGACTTAATCAAAAGAATGGCAGTGGGGTTGAATCTTTCTGTCACTCAGAAGCCTCCCCAGTCTACTGACACGTTATATGACGTAGTTCAAATGGACACGTCCTCTGTCATTGCCCTCCCTATGTCTTCAGTTCTGGTCGAAGCGGCTAAAACTCCGTGGAAACATCCCTTCTCTGCTCCGGTATCTACCCGAAAGCTGGATCACATGTATAAAATCCAAGATCCAGAAGCGGAGTTTTTGATGACCCATCCAGCCCCTAACTCTATGATTGTGACATCTTCGTCTAAGTCTCGGCGTACTCACACTGCTCCGTCGGATAAAGAGGGTAAAAAGCTTGATGCGTTTGGCCGCAAGTTTTACTCTTCAGGCGCATTAGCAGTCAAACAATCCACGTACTTGGCTTGCATGGGCCGTTACCAGTATTCCCTCTGGGAAAAGATCACTGATCTGATTAACACCATTCCGCAGGAGCACCAGGGTGAGATTAAAGCTCTTCAAAAGGAGGGCTTAATAGTAGCCAAACAGCAGCTTACGACATCTAAACACGTTCTGGAGGCTTCTTCACACACCATGACTTCCGCGATTGCACTGAGACGCCACTCGTGGCTTCGAAGTATTGCGCTTCCTTTTGATACTAGAGCGCAGGTTGAAGACATGCCTTTTGATGGGCTCGGTTTGTTCCATTCTAACACCGATTCCTCCCTCCAAGAGCTTGACAAGAGCATTAAGGCCTCCAGGGCTCTGGGGGTGTCTTCTTCAAATAGACAGCCACAGCGGTCCCGCACATGGCCAAGACCGTGGCAACGGCGAAATCAGACGCACCAATCTCCAGAACCTAGATGGC